CCTTCTCTGATATGCTTTCCTGTAACCTCCTCCTCTTCCTCTTTCTTTGCTGCTGCCTCAGCTAAGTAACACTTTGTTTTTTTCCTTAACTGTCATTTGTACTGCATATGTGTGTATGGCTTTATTTTCATTTCTGCCTGTTATTGTGATCTGACTCTATCTCACCAGAACGCATTGTGCATTTGGTGTACACCCCCCTAGAGGCTAACCCTCCGTGGGGGGGCCCTTTCCCGCACTGTCCCGCCGGTACCCCGCCCCCCCCGCGGGGATACCGGCTCCACACTTGCCGCTGGGTAGTTTATTACCCCCCCTCCTCGGTCACGCGGCGCAGGGAACCCTCGAGGACCGGACCGTCTCTCTCTCCTGGCGGAGGGTTCCCCCGCCGTTTCCTCTCGTTCGGGAGCGCCGCGCGTGCATGCGCGGCCCGTACTGGCGCCCATCTTAAAGGGGCGGCACTGGAAAAAATTTTGCCGCTCTTTTTCTCCCTCAGCTCGTTCAGCCCACTGCAGGGGGCGAGCTGATTGGCTTGTTTCATGTAATGTTAGCTTGCCAGTGATCCCAGGAGTCATTCCTGAGGGAACACTCGGTAAGCTAACAGTACATTCTGTGCTTATTGTCCTGCCTTGTCTCTTGCCTTTTTTAGTACTCATTACTGCCACTTCAGGTAGCCATTTACGTAATCCTGTATTTTGAACCCAAGATGCAGACCCCTGAGGTTTTCTCTGCCCCTGGCCCCAGTGATAGAGGCGATACCAAGGCCCAGCACGGGCCCTCTGTGGCTGAACCCATATCCCTGCATAGGGACATGGTGGCCCCTCTGGAGCAATTGGACTCTGAGGAGTTCCACTCGCTCCTGGACGCCACCATGTCAAAATCGGTTACACAAGCTATCTTTACCGCTATGGGGGTTATGTCGAATAACTTGTCACACTCCATTTCGAGTGCCATTAAGGCATCTAACCCCAACATGTCGCAAGCCAGGGCCGCAGAAGGGGAACCTTTACGCAGAGAGGGCCGTAAGGCCACGAGTAAAACCCACAATGGGGGAACACATGCCTCCAAAACTAGACTGACGGACAGGGTACGTCCTGTCGCATCTGAGGTCGTGGGGCCCCCACGAAAACGAGCCACCCGCCGGGCAAAAGCGGCGCGGACATGGAAGAGGGCAAAAGCCCTGTCAGATTCTTCCGACACTGATTCGGATAGTGAGGAGGTTTTGAACGAGTCGGACCAAGCCGACTCAGATGAATGGGAGGTTTCCTCCCCGGACCAGAGTCCGACATGCAATCCAGTCAACCCCGTGCATGACACGGCGGATGACACTGCTATTCTGGACCCCCAGGGCGAACCTCTGTTCGACCCAGATACCTTACAAAACCCGAGGTTGGCGGAGTGGTATCCGACCGATCATGTAGCACGATACATAGCGGCCAGAATCTTCAAACCGTTGGATAAAGCCACCAGGCAAAAACTACGGGCTGAATGCCCACGCCCGACTGTGCCCGACATGGCCTGTGCCACGCCAGATGTCGACCCAAAAATAGCACAGTTCCTGGGTAAGGCTGGCTGGAAGGCGAAAAAGGGACTTGATTACTCCCTACGCCACTGTCAGGATAAGGTGCTGGATACATTGGGCCCTAGTGCCAAGATTTTTGAGTTGGTCGAAGCGGCCTTAAATGAGGGAACGCCTCTTGATTTATTAGCCATTAGAGGCTGGGCCCAACGGTCGATATGCCTCATCGGCAACGCTAACGCTGCACTGGCCACAGAAAGGCGCAAAACCATATTAATGAAAATCGAGCCCAAGCTAGTTAACATGGCTCTCACCGAACCGGGACCGCAAGCCAAGGGTCTCCTGTTCGGAGACAACTTTGTTAAAGAACTGGGAACCTATGTGAGCACATTTACGGCCCTAGACAAGGCACAGACAAATTTAAAAAGAGTGTTCTCTCCCAGAGTTTTTGGTGGGGCCGGCAGACACCGGGGCCGTCTGCCCGGCCGCTCTTCCCGCGGTTCCTACCGGGGATACAGAGGTCCCGCCACGGCCAGATTCCAGCCGCCAGAGAGTCGTACGCCCTCACCCTTCTTCCCGGTCAGGGCCAGACCATGGCAACCTCGGGGACCCAGAGGCAACTCGTACAGCCGCCGACCTTATGGTAAGTGTATTACCTTCCCCCCTCCCGGGTGTACCGACTGTGGGGGGCAGACTGTTACACTTTATAGAGTCCTGGCAACAGCTGACAGCGGACGTATGGGTCCTCAACACCATCAGAGGTTACCACATAGAGTTTGTGCGACCCCCGGTCCAAACACACAGGCCACACCGCATAGTTCTCTCCACACAAGACAAGGGCCTGGTGAGCGAAGAGATTCGCACCCTCCAAGCGAAGGGCGCCATATACCAGGTCCCTTCACCATCCCCTGGGTTCATGAGCAATCTCTTTCTGGTACCCAAGAAGGGCGGCGGAGTACGCCCAGTCATCAACTTGCGGCCACTAAACGCATTTGTGCGGTACCACCATTTCAAAATGGAGGGTATCCACTGCCTGCGAGACCTGCTCAGGTTAGGGGACTGGATGGTGAAGCTGGACCTCCAAGATGCATATCTTACAATCCCCATTGCGGAGGAGTGCCACCACCTGCTCCAATTCCAATGGGAAGCGGCGACGTGGCGATTCCGCTGCCTTCCCTTTGGTCTCTCATCGGCCCCTTGGTGCTTCACCAAGCTGCTGAAGCCGGTGGTCGCCTCTCTACGCAGCAGAGGCGTACGGATGATCATTTATCTGGACGATATGCTGATCATGGCGCACGAAGCCCGTCAATTGCAACAGCACCTGGCATGGGCAGTGACACTGCTGCAAAATCTGGGATTTCTCATCAACTGGGAAAAATCGGTGCTTACCCCGTCCCAGATCATGGAATTCCTGGGTTTTCGCATAGATGCGACTACCAGGACGCTCAGCTTACCGACGGACAAAGTCAAACTCATCAAAAAGGAGATCCGCAGAACACTCAAAAGGCCGGTACTGACACTCCAGCAACTAGCCAGAGTAATCTGACTCCTCTCAGCCTCCATCCAGGCAATATTCCCGGGGCCACTGCATTACAGGGCCCTACAGCATCTAAAGGCCACACAACTACGCTCAGGGCATGCGTACTCCGACTCTGTGCCACTCCATTACGAGGCCAAACAGGAGCTCACATGGTGGCTGCTACATATGGAGGCGTGGAACGGCAGAGCAATATTCGGGTCTGCCCCGGACTTCATCGTAGAGTCCGATGCGAGCACGCGCGGTTGGGGAGCGCGCTGCGGGCCTACCTCCACCGGAGGAACCTAGTCGTGCTCAGAGAAACAATTACACATCAACGGTTTGGAACTCATGGCGGGATCTTTCGCCCTGAAGAGCCTCCTCGGGGGCATAACCAATTGCTCCATCGTTCTACGCATGGACAACATTTCCGCAGTCCGCTACATCAACCACCTCGGTGGCACGAGATCGAAGATATTGGCGGACCTGGCCAAGGAGTTCTGGCAACACTGCCTGGAACACAACATCTCGGTCCAGGCGGAATACATCCCGGGTATGTCCAACGTGGTAGCGGATTGGCATTCCAGACACATACAAGACGCCAGCGACTGGCGGCTGGACCAAAATGTGTTCTTGCAGCTTCAGGCGCTCTGGGGCCCGATGCAGATCGACCTGTTTGCATCCCGGCTGAACTCACAACTGCCAACGTTCTTCAGTTGGAGACCAGACCCAGACGCATTAGCAGCGGACGCTTTTCTCCAACACTGGCCGAACAGCCGATTATATGCCTTCCCTCAGTTTTCCCTCATAGCTCGCACTGTAGTACATCTCAGACGTACTCAAGCGACCCTGGTCCTCATAACACCGTTTTGGACGGCCCAACCGTGGTTCCCGACTCTAATGGAAATGTCCATGGACTTCCCAAGACTACTCCCGGACCCCTGGTTCCTTTTATCAGACCCAGAGGGCAATCCACATCCCCTCATGACCCAGGGACGACTCAAATTCTTAGCGTGGCTCCTTTCAGGGGACCCTGGAGCATACCGGACGTTCCACAGGACACTGTCGAACTACTGGCGGGAGCTTGGGCACCTGGAACTAGACGCTCCTACCTCTATGCCTGGAACGGATGGGCTAGTTGGTGCATGGAACAACAAGTGGATCCCGTACGTGCTCCTGTAAGTTATCTGTTACGGTTCCTCACCAACCTACATAATCAAGGTTTGGCCTACCGGACCATCAATGTCTATAGATCGGCTATCCCAGCAGGGCACCAAGGTATAGAGGGAACCCCGATGGGTCAGCAACTTTTTGTATGCCGTCTCCTAAGGGGCATTTGCTTTGCCCGCCCTCCACAACCCCGATATTCGTCATTGTGGGACGTCAACTCTGTGCTGACGTTGTTAGAGTCCTGGCCCCAAAACGAAGCACTTACGCTCAAACAACTGTCAGCGAAACTGACCATGCTCCTCTGCCTGCTATCTTGCAAGAGGGTATCAGACGTTAGAGCACTGGATGTTGATGCACGCTCCTTTACCCCCACAGGAGTCTCATTCAACATCTCCAGACGTACAAAATCGTCAATTACATCAGTCTCATACCCTTCGTTCCCACACAAGAGAAGCTCTGTCCAGTACACTGCCTACGGGAATATGAGAACCGAACCTCGGAATTCAGGAAATCAACACGTCCGGAATTGTTTCTGGCCATCAGACAACCTCATCAACCTGTCTCCACGGTAACCCTCGCCCGCTGGGTGAAATGGATAATGACGTTAGCTCACATAGATACCTCTGTATATGGCGCACACTCTACTAGAGGAGCCATGGCATCGAAAGTGTTCACGTTAGGTTGTAGATTAGAGGACCTCA